GTGAGGGAGAGAGAGCGGGGCAGTAGTGAAAGAAATTATGGGTGATAATGATTTAGTTTTTGGATATATTTATGGTTTGATATTTAAAATAAAATACCTGAAAAGTGAATAAAAAACATACAAACCTGATTTTTAAAATCCACTCTTTAAACACCTGGTTTTTTATAATTTCTCTAGTTGAATATGCACTTATGGATTACATCGGGAGGCTTTTAATTGGGCTTTACATGGCTTATAAGCCATGTTCAATGTGAAGGCCAAACTTAAAACTTAACTTACTTTTTTTTTTTATAGAAAAATTTGCTTCATTGAAATAGAGGCATAAACCTCAAACCCGATTACAATAATGTTTGTCATGGTAAACAACATTTACAATGAAATCAGGACAGTTATGCCACCATATTTGGACGTCTTTAATATTCCAAAAACTTAACTTACTTTTATTAATGAGGAAATTAAAGAAAAACAAGCATTTAGTTTTTCAAATTCAAAAATCAGATTTGAAGTTCATTTAATCAAAATTCAGGTATTAATTGAATTTATTAACCCTAAATCATGAATAATGCTATTAATTGAATTATATTAACCCAAAATCACAATATCTCTCATCTGTTCCTCACCGTCTGTCTCATCTTTCACTAATCACTCCATCTCGTCCTCTTCACTAACGGTAGTGGCATCCTCTTCATCGGCGGAAGCAGCATTTGGTGGTAGGGAGCGGTGCTCAGTGTGTGGCGATCTGAAATTTTTCCCAGAAGGAGCGCAAATCGCTGGCTAGAAGGAGCGCAAATCGCTGGCTAGAAGAAGCGCAAATTGTCGTGAGTTACGATGGTGAAATGACTGTCCGCTTCTACTCACTCACTTTGGCGGCTGTGGTAGTGGATCGGCGGTTGGGGTGGTGGTGTTTTGTGTGGTGGATTTGCAATTGTGCCGGCATAGTGGTGGATCTGTGGTAGGCGTTGTGGTATGTGTAGTGATGGTGGTCTGTGAGAATTGCGAGAAACGAAGCCGATCTGTGAGATGAGACGGTGGTTGTTCTGTGGTTGTGTGCAATGGTTTTGTTGGTGGTGGTGGATCTTGGTGATGTTGAGATGTTGGTCTCGATGGGCCTGTTGAGGTGGTGGCAACGTTGTTGTTGGAGGTGTTATGGTGGCGGTGGTGGGATACTGTTTGTGACCAAATATTTGGTTGGTCTGTGACTAAGTATTGGTCGTGGATCGGGATCGGGGGTATGGTTCTTTGGTGTATGTGACCAACTATTTG